GTGGATAGTGTATGAGGAAAATCTTAAGCTTCCTTTATTGAGTTGAAGATCCAGATCACTGTGATAACATGAGCCATCGAGTATGAAACCGTGGTAACGTGAGCCACTGTCAGAATTTCGTTACGCCTAAAGTAGAGTTATTATGGTAAGGGTGGGCTCTGAGCTAAGGTCCTAAAAGATTCTTAGACCCATTTTCTGTCATGTTCTTTTGGTGTTTGTTTATGATAATGACTACATACTAAAATAATAATAACTACAATTATAATAACAAATACAATTATAGAAAATAAATATAAAATGTGCAACATTCACTTTCAACACACACTCTTTTATGAACATCGTACTAAGCAGCCATCTTGTCTATAGGTCACGTGATGTAATTTGATTAATGAAAACAAAGCACCATGGGCGCAGGGTAAGCTCAGTCGGTAGAGCTGGCAACCCATATACAGAGTTGCTGCAACGGCCCGGGTTTGTATCCGACCTGCGGCCCTTTGCTCCCTCAACCCACCTTTCCTGTCTATCTACAGCTGTCTCTATCAATAAAGCCAACAAAAGGCCAAAAAAATAACAGCACACATTCAACCATCTTCAGACTGTGACATCACTCTTTCACAGCTCTGATGTCATCATCAAAGTGTCAATCAATGATCAGATGATAGATCAATAACTGCAGCTGTATTGTGTCTTGTTCTCTCCATCAGATTCCTGTGAACTCACAGTCGACACAAACACAGTACACGGAAACATCAAACTGTCTGACAACAACAGGAAGATGACAGCTATGAAGGAGGATCAGCCATATCCTAATCACATAGACAGTTATGACAACTGGCCTCTGTTGCTGTGTAGAAATGGTCTGACTGGTCGCTGTTACTGGGAGGTCCAGTATAGAGGTGAGGTTTATATATCAGTGAGTTACAGAGGAATCAGCGGGAGAGGAAACAGTAAAGACTGTTTTTTTGGAAGGAATGATCAGTCCTGGAGTCTGGAGTGCTCTGATGGTGGTTACTATGTCTGTCACAAAAACAGAAGAACATCCATCTCCTCCTCCTCCTCCTCCTCCTCCTCCCTCCTCCTCCTCTGGTAGAGTAGCAGTGTATGTGGACTGTCCTGCTGGCACTCTGTCCTTCTACAGAGTCTCCTCTGACACACTGATCCACCTCCACACCTTCAACACCACATTCACTGAACCTCTTTATCCTGGGTTCGGGTTCAGGTTCTGCTCTGGTTCCTCAGTGTCTCTGTGTTCTCTGTAGGAGGGAGAGAGAAACTTTCTCACTGCTGACCAGATAGTTCAGTCTGTACAGGATCACACACAGCTGATGTTAGTTAGTACCAACCTGATGTGTTTACTGTAATAGAGGAAGAGGAGGCTGAAGGAAGAGAAGAGCAAAGGATGGGATGAAAGGATCATGTGTGAGGGTAATGTGCAGCCTGCAGACGTAGAGATGAAAGAAATCATTGAAATAATTTATATTTTTTACTTAATTGAACATTTTTAGGATCAAATGCGGCTGTTTGTTTTTCAAATCTTTTTTTTATGACTCAAATATTAAAGTGTGAACAGATATTCAACTTTGAGTCTAAAACTGAAGTTTGTTGCCTTAAAACCTTTGTTTCTGTGAAGAAAAAATTTGTTCAAATGTCAACGAGTGTTTCAGGATCCAATTCAGCATCTGTGTAAAAATAATTCCAAGGTGTAAAGAGTGGCTTTGATATGAACAAACTAAATGTATCATCTTTGGTCATCGTGGAACAAATGTACAAACTTTGATAAGTCAGGTTGAAATCAAAAGAAATCAAAGTTTTGGGATGATTCTAGATAATAAATGATGCTGGAAACCACATTTAAATGATGTCAAAGCTAAACTGTCCAAATGGATCCCAACACTGTATAAAATGAAGGATTTGTTAAATCCAGCTTCATTCTTTACTTTGTATTGTTCACTTCTACTTCCATACATCACTGACTGTGTGCTCGTTTGACATAGGAAGTGCAAAGCAAACTACTGATCAAGAATATAAAGTCAGAAACTAATGACGAGCTGAAAGAGTCCAAAAGTTGTTTGAAATGAGAGAAAGTCCAAATGATTTGAAAGGATCTGCAGGTTTAAGGACTGATGTCAAAAATCACTTCAGTTAAAGAGGTGAACTTGTGGAGCAGCTGTAGTGAGGAAATCAATCATTCCATAAAGAATAATTTCATGAACAAATATAAAAGTGATCAAACTGACATGTTAATGTTAGTACAGTAAAGATAGTGTCACATTAGTCTGATGTCAAACAGGTCAAAGACTCAATAATCTGCAGCTTTTCACTCTGTACTAAATCAATCTTTCTCTTCTTCATTTGTTTTCTACTTTCAGTTTTTTTGTGTCATTATTTGTGTAAAATTTCAATTTGAGTTAATTTTCCTCCCAAAGTGTTTGTGCAGAAATATAAACAGGACGTTGATGTTAGTTGTTGTTTTAGTGAACTAAGATTTCTGTCACTTTGTCAGGATGTCAGCGGATTTATTACTCCACATGTTGACTCTGAATGTTCCCTTTCTTATCAACATGTTTGCTTTTACTGATTATTCCTCTGCTGAAGCTATTGACTTCTATATTATTCATTTGATTTTATTGTTGGCAAAGTACATATTCATACATACATTCATACTTTAAGAACAAGAAAGCTTGTTAAACCTTAAATTTATCTACTTTATAAATAATTCTTTAATATTCATGTCCTGATTTCACCACGCTGTATGATTTCTGTCTGTCTGTGTTGTTCTTGTTCAATAAAGTTTTAAAGAAGAAATCCTGCTGATGACTCCAAGTAAAAGTCCTGCATTAAAAATAACACTAAAGTATCAAAAGTTAAGTACTAATAATCAATTAAAATGTACCCTGTCAGTGTTACACTGTTATATATGATATTTTTGGATTATTACTACTGATGCATTCATGTTTAACAAGTACGTTAGTGTTATTGTAGTCTCGGTAGAGATCATTTTAACTCGTCTAGATACGGTTGGTGGTTGAATCTGTAACAATGCATCAGATTCTATAAACTAATCACATGCTTTATCTCTCTCAGTAACTATATACTCCTACTCGTACTATGCCTCACACCAGGCACCATTTGTTGGAGTAACAATGGTTTAAAGGGGCACCAAAGTGTGTCGTATGATCAATTATTTTTGTCAATCAGTATTATCAATCATCAAAAATAGCAATGGATGTGTGTGTGTGTGGGTGTTTGTGTGTGTCACTATGAAAGTATATAAGTAAGCCCACAAATGTGTGCAAACAGTTAATGAGAAGAGTTTCAGATCTTCATGCTGATATAAAATGATGATATAAATATGTATAGCAACTGCTGTTTGAGTCTGATCTGAGTAATAGAAATATTTTCAGAACATTGTATTTTCTTGTAGCACTTGAACGTCGCAGTGGCCCTCATATGAGATGACAATACCAGCAGTGGCCCCAAGACAATATGAGTTAGTCTTCCTGTCCAGAACTTTAATAAATACATTCATTAATACATTCATCACTCCACTTAGTTGTTGTTGTTGTTGCACTTGCTGGGAGCGGGGCAACTCACCTAGTTAGTGCAGATAGTTTGGTGACATCCCATAATTCCCAGCATAGCTCCACTCAACTTCATATCAGCCAGTAAGTGAAAACAGCTGTGTTGGTGGGAGACTTTGATTTGTAAAGTAACTAAAGCTGTCAGATAAATGTAGTGGAAGATGTCTCTCTGAGATGTAGTGCAGTACAAGTAGAGAGTAATGTACAAGTACTGTAGTACAGTGCAGTAGTTGAGTAAATGTACTTGGTTCCTTTCCAGCAGTAAAATGAATGACACATACAGACAGAAATGTGTCACATGTGAATGAGTCACTGATGATTACTCTGGAGAAGAATGACTGAATAATGGAGCTGAGATCTCCTTTAAATGAGGAGTGCTCCTCATTAATGGAGGAGGATTTGGCACCCTCTTGTGTCACAAACATAAAGTGCATCCTGTCAGTTGAAGTGAAACAGATTACAGGCTGTTTTCAGTGTTTGGGAATCATCCAAATATCAACAGGCAGAGATCATTTTGAGCTCAGGGTCCAAACCCTGACTTATTTCCTATCTTTGTCTTTGGGAGTAAAAGCAGCTTCACATCTGGAACATCTGGAACTACAGATTCCTCCAGAAAGAGATTCTGTCTCATCTTCTCTGGACTTTATAGGACTGAAGTGTGTTGCATTCTGCTGCTGCACACTGCAACACAGACAGGAAGTTAGCCTTTATTTTGGTGGCTGTATTTTGTTCTGACAGGATTAACAGGAAATGGCAGTATGTATGGGTGCTTTTCATCTGGCCTTTCTCATTTCTCTAATTTGTGCCTCCTCGTTTCCTCTGACCTGCCTGTGACCCAGAAATCATCCTCAGTGCGCCATCTTGAAGGATGTCTCAATTCCTAGGGTGCTCTTTTATTACGCTAATGCGTCTCCTCGTTTCCCTAACTCGCTTCCTTTCCTCATGTCTTAGATCCTCCCAGCAAGGAGGTGAGAGAGATTCAAGGACACAGGAGGCGAAGCTGCCAAATGAGAAAACCTTCTTCTACAGCATCAGTATTTATGACTGCAGCTGTATCACCTGTCAGACTGAATGTCCACAGAATCTTTTGCTTAAGAACAATTTCAAAACCTTACAGTATTCATTTAATTAATTCATGTAAATTGTTTAACATTGTGCATTTTAGCAGTATTATTACTTTTGTTGATCATTTAATATTAATTTTTAAAAAGGCATATTGTAATAACAAGAGCAGCAGCATTGCTTGATTTTACCAACAAAATAAAAAAAAGTTCAGAGATTTGCTCCTCACATTGTCTTTAAGGACAGTTGTAGATGGACCCTGTTGTGAGCACAGTGATTGCCTGAACTGATTTCAGGTGTTCACTGGCAGCAGGCAGCAGGGCTGGAGGCAATCTGCTGACTGAAGAAGAAACAAGTGTTTGTCTTCTGTTTGTCTTTCTCTGTCCATCTCACACCAGCAGCCGCAGAGCACACAAGCTAGTTTTTAATTTTTCCAAATGTTGACGGCAGTCTGAGCACACCGGCATGGAAACAGTTAACAGGTACGGTTTCTTTATCTGTGACAGAGCTTTGTTCAACAGCATGCTGAGGCCCTTCAGATCATAACGATTGATTTTATTGTGGTTTACTGAGTTGTTAATTAAGATTAGGAGTTATTTCAGCCAGGTTTAACCACAGAGGGACATTTTAACACAGGTCAGATACTGTAAAAGCTGATGAGTTAGTTCAACTTAAACTGTTAGAGGACACCGATCGCCTTAAACAGTTTTAGTTTATTAACTCAACAACAATTTAAGCATGAAAGGTATTTGAGTAGAAGTATTTGTTACAATAACTTAAGTTAATTGTACCACTTCCATTCAATTAACTGAAGTCAATATTAGCTTTACACTTAAATGCAAACATATCTAAACAAATGTTAACAGAATTTATCTGAATTAACTTAAACGCTTCAGTTTTCTTCCACTAAAGCAAACTATTACATTACCTGTAATTTCTGGTAACGTACTTCTTATATTAAGATGTGTTGTGAGGTTTTACAGTTTAATGATGCTCACAAACAATATTTCTTTAACACCAGTTTTTACATGCATTAATCTTTTAATTTCTGTACTTTTCTTTTGATAGTTCTAGAGTTGCTGGTTTCAGAATCACTTGTGCCAAAGTGTTACGTTTCATTCGGACCCTGACCCGAAAGAAGCCTCTGGAGCCAGAAGGCGAGGAGTCCAACTTCTGCCGATGCCTGACCACCTTGGACCTGGTGGGTCTGGGTGTTGGCAGCACGCTTGGAGCCGGCGTCTACGTGCTGTCAGGAGAGGTGGCCAGAGAAGTGTCCGGCCCCAGCATCATTATCTCCTTCCTGGTTGCAGCTTTGGCTTCGGTCTTCGCAGGGTTGTGTTATGCGGAGTTTGGAGCCAGGGTCCCCAAGACGGGCTCAGCTTACCTTTACAGCTATGTGACCGTAGGAGAGGTGTGGGCATTTGTGACTGGCTGGAACCTGCTGCTGTCCTACGTCATCGGTGAGTAAAACACACCTTTCCTCTGAGCAGTTGTGCCAATGCATATACAAATATATTGGTGTATTTCAAAACTTAACACTTGAAATTTTAAGTCCAATTTTAAGTTTTGAAATAAACAAATTATTATAATTACTTTTCTTCTATAGGAAAACATGTATCTTAAAAAGAAATTCAAATTTAAAACAGTTAATAATACTATTTGAACTTGTACTTTTGAACTTTAAGTAAAGAATCAGTATTTCTGCTTTTACCGGAGTCTTTTTACATTTGTGTCTGTACTTCTTCTGGAGTATAGAATGTGTGTACTTCTACCACCTCAGCTATGTTAAATGTGTTAATATATTAATTCACTCATACATTTTTTAAAGAAAGTAGCAAATTAACTGGTAAATGTTTTAAAAGTTGCCACATGACCTGTTTTAGAAAAGGTGAAAATTAAATTGAAAATGAATGAACTAATATGTTAAGGCTAACACAATGTCATGATCTTTGAGTATCTATCTATGCTGGCCTGATTTAAGTGCTCTTTACTTGCCCCTCTCCCCCAGTCCCTGCTGTAGTCCAAACTGAACACCAAAGCAGGGTATCACAGGTTATTTTGATGTGGCTTTTTGGCGCCATCTTGTGGCATTTTAGGATATTACAGGCAAAAATAGCTGGAACTGCATTTATTTGTAGTTCACTGTGCACAGAGCAAGAAGTTGTCTGCCACTGTTTTCCTATTTTTTTTTTTTTTTTATTGCCCTTTGCAAGTTTCTTTGATCCTGTATTAGCCGTTCAATCTCTGAAGGGGATGCAACCCTGTTGTTTTAGTGTCTGATGATGAT